TTATTTATTTAATGGACCCAATCACCCCACAATTCCTTGGAAGTCAAGTGTAATCGGATTTGGTTTTTAACATGCTTTTAAAGTGGGGAAATAAATAGAATTGAGGCTTGTAAAAGGGGATCATTACTGAATGGGCCTCAGCCCCATAACTTTAAAGTAATAGCCCCATTAGGGAGGAGGCGATGATTTTTTAACTGTCCCTGCACATTTATGTCCCTGGGCGGAGGGGTTCTGCCGGCAGCTTGGGCAGCTCAGTAAAAGCTTTTTCGGCAGCCACTTAACCTCCACTTATGAAGAAATAAAGCGAAATTGATGCTGATTTGGGCCTGCTTGGGGGGATATTTCTGTTCCGTAAAAGCCCTTGTGCCTGCAATTTGCGGAGCGGTCCTGTCACATCGGGCAGGGCCGCTGTTGATAAAGATGAAGCTTTATGGCCACAATATTTGCTGCGAACAGCAACCTAATGCAGCATTTTCATTTCTGTGCAATTAATGTTAATGTCTGCTACGAAAATTGTCATTAAATACCATTTTAAAATCCATTCAATTTGCATATGCAAAGCCCATTTGCCATCACAGAAGATGTAGCCGGCACTTCATCACGTCTGGGCCCGGACTCTGGCCGCTTGGTTTTATGGCAGCTGAAGATTGTGTGCTGAAAGGTGGATGATAACGAACGTCCTCGCCGGGCCACACCTGCAGCCCCAGGACCGGAGTGGTGTGTGCATGCCTGCACCAGGCACCACCCCTGCGAAGATGCAGGGTCCACAGGAGAGAAGGAAGGTGCCCCGGGACTCCCGCATCTGGAACCGGCTCAGCGACAGCCTGCTAGTGACCCTGGGAGGTCTCTTTGCCCAGTCACCTGTCTCCTTTTCTAAGCATTCAGCTCCGTGACCACTAATGACTGGTGTGTGGTAACACTTGAACTTGAGGGCCGGTGAGATAGTTCAGCAGAGTAAGCGCCAACTTAGGCAAGCACAGGGACTGGGGCTCCATCCCTGGCAACACAGGCCAGCCTGCCATGCTGGCCCTGCCCCGGGCATACTGAGCCAGCCACCAAGACTGGACGTGGTGGCACACACCAGGTGGGGCCCCCAGAAGGACATGGGCAGTCAGTCAGGATCCAGGGCAGCAGGAAGCAGGGACAGTCACTGGTGTCGGGAAGCAGCCATTCTGGGTGCAAGTTCCAGGGGATGCAAGCATCTCAGCGAACCTGTGACAGTGATGAGTTTGCGCCCTAATGTGACGAAGTCAGGGAATTCTCCCACTGTTCTGGACTACTCCGTTCTGGGGATCCTCCCTGTGGGATAGAACCTCGGTCCCAAATCCTTTCCACCATCTGCCCATGTGGATTATGGGGAAGATTTCTCCAGATGCCCAAGAATGTCATGTGATCAGGCTTGGCCAATCAGAGCATCGGAATCCCAACTCCCCACCCCTTTTCTCATCCTGCCCCGCCCCAGCCAAGGGTTCAAAGGCAGACATGGGACCCAGACCAGGAGGATCGCTACGAGTCTGAGCTGCATAGTGAGACCCTATACCAAATACATTAAAAAAAAAAAAATTGAACTTGAAACTGTAAGCATCCTAGGTGAAGCAGGCCAAGCGCTGCCGTGAAGATGGATGAACTTGCGCCTGTCTGTCAGATACTCATCCTACCCACCTCCTGCACAGATTTTAAGGACAATGAGAGAAAATTGGCCCAAAGGATTAAAGCCAAGATGGCACAACAGGACATTCCCTCTGTGTCACAGAATGCCAGTTACTTAGTGTGACACCCTAGTCACACAGGAGGAAAGAGAAGCCCTGGGGAAAGTGACACAGAGACTGGGAGACACTCAACCTCAGGCTGACCCGGAGCCTGGGTGCCTCCCAACACCACGCTGTCATTGAGACTGGGTTACCAGCATGACCGATCATGTGACCGGGTACAGAAGGCAGGCTCCACGGCCCTGCCCTGGGCATCCTACAAAACTAGAGGGGGACAGTGGAAGGGAGGGAGACCTCAGGGATCAGGGGTGCTCCCGGGAAGGCTGGCTTGGGGTCCTTTCAGAGGCAGAAGAAGACAGTGTACAGACCTTTGGTTAATCCAGCCCAGAAAAGCCTGTCCAGTGACTCTTAAGTGCACGAGACCACAGGGATTGGAAAGCTATGAAGGAGAGGACGCCAGGGTGACCTTTGGAGAGCCTGAGGGTCTCACAGGTAGGACAGTGACCCAGAAGCATGGCAACGTGTGCTTGGGAAACAGCTTGCCAGGCCCCCAAATCACATCTGGGATCCCTGTGGGACTCAGCACGCCCACTTCTTCAGATCCCAAGAGCAGGGACAAGAACACCAGGTATTTGCAGCTCTGTGGGTGACAGCAGAACTCACAGCAACCAAGAGCAGAAACAACCCAGACATCTACTCATGGAGGACAGGTCAAGGAATAGCGGTCCAGACACACACCGGAATGCCCCTCAGGCTCAGGGGGAATGCCCTCGCAGGTCACACTAGACCCCGCGAACCTTGAAGAGGTGGTAAGTGGCATAAGCTGGCACCAACGAGCACATGTGGCCTCCACTCATAGGCGGTCCCTGGATCCGTCCATGTCACAGACAAGGAAACTGGGTGAACACTGGTCACCAAGTGCTGCCCTAGGTGCTTCATGGGGCAGAATTGCAGACTGGCAAGAAGAGAAAGTGGTGGAGACCGGCTGCAGGGTACCAGCATGCTGTTCACCACGGAGCTGGCCACGTGGAAACTGCTGAGATGATTTCTGTCACACGAATCTCACCACAATAAAAATAGGAAAAGCGAAAACGAAAAACAAGGAGGGAACCATAAAAAAAAAAAAAAAAAAAGGAAAGTAAGGTAGGTAAAGGGAGTCAGGTATGGACAGAAGGAAGCATGGCAGATGGGCCGGGGATTCGGCTTTGAAGAAGGGCACAGCCAGGTGGGCCCCCCAGAAGGACACGGGCAGTTGGCCAGGATCCAGGGCAGCAGGAAGCAGGGACAGTCACTGGTGTCGGGAAGCAGCCATTCTGGGTGCAAGTTCGAGGGGATGCAAGCATCTCAGCGAGGACTAATCTGTTTTGGGGATCCTCCCTGTGGGATAGAACCTCGGTCCCAAATCCTTTCCACCATCTGCCCATGTGGATTATGGGGAAGATTTCTCCCAGATGCTCAAGAATGTCATGTGATCAGGCTTGGCCAATCAAAGCATCGGAATCCCAACTCCCCACCCCTTTTCTCATCCTGCCCCGCCCCAGCCAAGGGTTCAAAGGCAGACATGGGACCCAGACCTGGCTAGCCACAGAGCCTGGCTCAGGGACAAACACATGACCTACTGGACCAAAATACATTGCTCTTAAGGATTTTGTGCCTTCTAAATCATTCTTGCTGGGTTTACTAAGAGAATGTGATTCAGAATGCAACTGCTACTGGCCAGATAGCAGGCAAGGAAGAAGCTTGTTGGAGAAGGAAGCCCAGAGCTGGAAGCACAGGTGCCGCGTGCAGGTGACATGCTGACTGTCTGGGAAGCTCCGCCCCGCGGGCTTTTTGATCAGAGAAATTCCCTTTAAAAAGTCAAGGTACTCCTGCCTAGCTCCCGTGAGGTCCTGAGTTCCATATCCAGAAGAAAGAAAGAAAGAAAGAAAGAAAGAAAGAAAGAAAGAAAGAAAGAAAGAAAGAAAGAAAGAAAGAAAGAGACTCAAGGCACTTTGGGCTTTGATTCTACACAACCACATTCTATTTTAATAGAAGGACATTAGTGCTGGGATCAGGTCATGGGTCAATTGCTGGGGGCAAGGGACTCAGATGTCCTGATTGGCCAGGCCTAGTCACATGACCCTCCCTGGGTCAAGGGTGAAGCTGGTTTCCACAGTCCACATGCGCTGAGAGGGAAAAGTAGAGATGGGTTAGAGTTCATGGAGAGAAAAATCTGATGGCAGGAAGTCTGCGTAGAGGATGACACCAGTTAGCAGGTGCGTTAGGGTGGTGACTGTGAGGGCCTGTGGAAGCCCAGAGAGCAGTGAGGGGTTCTTCTGGGGTCCATGCAAAAAAAGATGGGACACTGCATAGGGTACACGATTCTAAAAGTCCTTTTCTGTTGTCACTCCCCGAGCCGCCTAGCTCCTGCCTAGTTCTGTGTGGGCTGTGAGTCCCCGCTGGCCTGGCAGGGGTGCAAGCCCTGGGCCACTTCCATCTTGCAGAGGTGCTTTGCAGCGTTGTCGCTGTGAGGGCGGGACTTGGGGGGATGAGGACCTCGGGATCCCCCCTCCAGCCCATCTGATCTGCAGCCAGGCAGAGTCGAGCTCCTTCCGGAGGAGGCTCGCCCACGCCCACCCGCGGCTTCCAGGGCTGCAGGCACAAGCCGTCTTTATCTGACTGGCTGCTGTTGTACAAGCATTTCCATTTGCAAGATTTCATTAAGCTGAGCACTTAGGCACATCACTATTTTCAAACTTAATAAAATAATAAAATGAAAATTTAAAAATCTCACAGCTCTTGGACATTCAATATGTGCACATCATTTTAACCCCCGCAACTGCCCACATTTATTGAGTGCCGTCTCCCGGCCACGACGCCAAGCCTCTGCGCTACTGAAACCTCTCAGCCACACCAGGAAGCAGGTGCTGGTGCATCTCCATTGACAGATGCAGAAACTGAGGCAAGTGTCCCGCAGTTACTTGCGGCCAGAGCCTGTGTTGTGGCCACACCAGGCTGGTGCCGGGCTGGGGTAACCTGGCGGGTCCTCACCTCCCTCGATCAGGTTCTTAGCCCCACTGAGAGCAGACAGACGTCCCCATCAGTATGGACGAGAGACAGAGACGTCAGCTCGCAGTGCATGCCACCCCTGCCAAGCAAGTGCTCAGCTCGGCACAGGACAGCTTTTGGGGCGAGGGGCAGCTAGCCCCCCAGGAAGCACTGCTCCCCCATGCCCCTCTGACATGGCTCCCGGCTGCAGCCACCACCCTCCCAGCCCTAGTGAGCGATGCATTCCCAGAGCCATGCTCTCACCGAGCCCTGATCCCGAACGTCATGTTGGGAGGGATGGCAGGTGGCTCCTTCAGGCGCCGGTCATCCTGATCACTGATGCGGATGTCATTAAGTCTGCGGTAGAGGATGTTCTCCCGGGCAGTGACCAGACCAGCTTTCACGGCCCCTCGATTCATGGCGATGTAACTCCGGGTCAGCTCCTGGGGGCAGGTGGGCTGTTGCTTGTACACATTCCAGTGCCCAATGGCTAAGGATGGGGGAGACAGAGCCACAGGCAGTTTCAGGGGGAGCCAAGCACCTTGGGCTACAAAACATTGAGAGCCCCACACCCCAGCCTGCTGGGTGTCAGTCCTGCAAGGTCCTGGGGAGCATATGGTGGCCCAAGTGGGAGGGATCAGGAGCCTCAGGGATCCCAGGGGAGTCCGGCCATCCCACAGGGAGACGGGGTGCCCGCCCTCCGTCACCGCTGGGCCATCAGAGCCCTGGTCCTGAACTCTCCCATGTTCACAGCTGGAGTGGCCCAGAGCTCTGGGACCCCTTCCCAGGGCGCCCTTACCCCTTCCCTGGGCCCCAACCTGGACCCTCTTTGTTCTCCCCATCTTGGCCAAGCCCTGGGTTTCACCACACAGCTGCCCAGACTTGGAGTCCCAGATCTGTGCTGCAGAGCTGGGGCTCCTGGGCGATGGATAGCCCTGGAAAGAGGCCTGCGTCAACCCTGTCCACCCCTGAGCCCTGAGCGCTCCTCACCTTCTGGGACCCCTCCATCCAGTCCCCGGATGTAGAGGCCGTAGTTGAAATCAATACCAGGCAGGCTGCAGCTCCTTTCCCGGGGTTTGCCAAGCTCTGCCTGTAGGACAAAGAGCAAAGGTGAAGGGTGTTATCTCAGCCCTCTTAGGTATACCAGGAGAGGAATCAGCCTGCAGGTGGGACTGCGGCGGCAGCAGGCGACCAGCTCAAGAGGAGGCACCTGGAAGCCACAGGGAGGCAGAGGGGGAGGACCTCCTACTCAGCTCTTCCTTTCTACCAAGGATACCCCAGGCCCTCACCTGCAGCACAGAGGAAGTCAGTTCTTCCTTGAAGCCTTTCTGTGGGGTGGGGACACAGTGACAGCACCCACTGCCACTTTTGGGCACCCGGACTGCAAGTCCTACCCACTGGGTCTCTGGTCGACCCTTCCTCAAGGCTTGGAAGGAAACGGCTGTTTTATGAACCTGGGGGCATCACCCCTGGGGTGGCTGTGCCACAATGACCCCAGATCTTGGGGGGCTCCACCCCACGGGTGCTGAGAGCACCATCCACTGAGCACATGTGAGTTCTACTTCCAGACCCAACACCCAGTTCCTCTCTGCCTCCCTCAGTCAGTACTGTCTGCCTCCTGAAGACACTAAAAGAAGTGAAGCTCACACAGTAGGAAGTGGTAGACCTGGAATTCGAACCCTGGCCCTGTCTGCAGCCCACACTCAGTTCCATGGCCCAAATAAACACGAAGGAGCCTCGGTTTCTGTGGCGAGTATGGGGTGCCCAGGCTCAGGTAGAGCTCGGGCTGCAGTGTGTGGTCTCTCAGGATGGCCCCTCCAGGCCCACCTAAGGCTGCCCTGGGTCTGGCGGGCTCCAGCTGCACGGCTGCCATCTCCTCACAGTGGCCGAGGTCCACCCTGCACCGCCCAGCCCCACCCCTGCAGCCCCGCCCCCATCCCGCAGTCCCTGTGCAGCCTCAGCTTCCCCTTCTTCAGGCCATGCCTCTTCCTGGCTGCTCTCTGGGTGCAGATGCGCACACTCTCCCCTGGAAGCCAACTGTTCTGCTCTGTTCATCTGGGGCTCAGAAATTAAGAGCCATCCGTGCTTCCACGATGTCCAAGCTGGACCATCTTGCCTGGGTTATGAATTCCTCCACAGCTGGAGCCATGGATTCCACTCACACAGCCTCTGTAGCGAGTGCACTATAAAAACCTCCTCCTCTGGGCAGGCTTCTTGGATTGGCATGGGTCCCATGAGCCTCCTCGTTACCAGGGCTCTGTCGTGGACTGTGCCCGCCTTGCAAGTTCACAGGGACGCCGAGGGGATTTGTGGTTATGGGAGCTGGGCTAGGTGAAGGAGTGGAACAGTGGGGGAGAGTGGGCAGGGCTGTGTCTTTGTGGGAGGTGATAAAACTGTTTTACAAGTGATTATGGGGAGCCACAGGTACTGACAGAGGCTTGTAATCCCAGAAGTCTGGGGGGGACGCAGGCAGGAGGATCACAAGTTCAAGCCCAGCCTGGGTATATCTTTTTGTTTGTTTGTTTGTTTTTGGTGGAACCGGGGATTGAACTCAGGCCCTTGCACTTGCCAGGGAAGTGCTTATTCCACTGAGTCATCTCCCTGGCCCCAGTGATCATCATATATATATATGCTTGTTTTGTAGCCTGGGTAATTTAAACAATTTAGTAAGAGCCTAAAACAGTACACTGAGGATGTAGCTCAGGGCAAAGGCCCTGGGTTATATTCCCAGTACAAAAGCAAACAAAACCACAATTGATTATGGTGATAGCTGTACAACTCGGTGAACACACTAAGGCCCAATAAGTTGTACCTTCAAATGGGTGAATTGTATGGTGTGTGAGGAGTTACATCTCAAACAAAGCCACCAGAAAATGACAGAGTAGCATAACTGGGTCAGTAACTGGTCGGTGATCTGCTAAAGTCTGTCTGCCCTAAGGAGACTCTGTGTCCCATGAGGACGGGGATCTTATCTTCATTAAGGTTTCTGCAGTACTGGGGACAGGACCAGGGTGCTCTACCACAGACCTACTCTCCCAGCCCTTCTTATTTTTGGTTTTGACACAGGGTATATCAAAGTTGCCCAAATTGGCTTTGAGCTTTAGATATTCCTGCCTCGGCCTCCTCAGTAGCTAGGATTACAATCGATGTATACCACCCTGCTTAGTTAGCTACTGATTAATTTTTAAAGTTAACTTTCTAAAATTTGATTTTACATTTTTAAGCAGTCTTAGGTTCACAGAAAAGTTGAACAAAAGGCACAGAGATTTCAAGCATATGCCACCAATCTTTACTCTTACCTTTCTTTTCCTAGAGCTCAGGCTAGAAAGGGACTAAGGGAAAGATGGAAGGAAGAAGGGAAAAGAAGGAAGGGAAGGAGGGAAGGAGGGAAGCAGGAGGGCAAGCAGGCAGGCTTTCTGTCTCAGTTCAGGCTCCTGGGTCCCCTTGTCACGCCCGGGAGGGCTTACACAGTCACCACCATCACCAACATGTCTGACAGCCCCGCAGGCTGGCCCAGCAGACCCAGTGTCAGGGAGAATCTGCTGCAGTGTTCAGACAGATACCTCACACATAAGAGGAGGCAGAAGTAACCCTGCTTATCCCCTGCTCATAAGGGCACTAATCCCATGGCAGGGGCCCCATCCTCACGACCTAAACACCTCCAGGGCCTGCCTCCTAACACCATCTCACTGGAGTAAGGGTATTAACATGAGTCTGGAGATACATTGTACAGCCCAGAACTGCACACTTGGAGACTACAGGCTCTCCACACTCAGCCACTCTTCTCTCTCCTCTCCTCGCAAGCCCCAGACCCCCTCTCTCTCACTCTCTGGAGCCATGGCAGGTGTAAGGCCCCCTGCTGGGTGCTTTGTTTTGGTTTCCTTCCACAAGACTAGCCTGGAAGGCAGGCAGGGCTCTGGCCTCTTATTTGTTTATAATGAGGATGCCATGATCCAATCTCTCCAGCGACCGCTGGGAAAGTTAATTAAAATGTGACTTCTCCAGGAGAGGCCCCTGCGTCCTCCGTCCTCCAGCGCAGGTGCAAGTGGGCTGACTTCCAGCTGGCGGGGAGAGAGAGACAGACTCCGGAGCTGGCCCCACCCTCCAGCAGGGGCCAGGAAGCAGGCAGGGACCTTGATCTCTGTGTTCTTGAGACTGGTGGCCTGGGAATCAGGAACTGCTGGAGACTGGAGCTGTGCGGACTCATCCCAGCTGGAGGCCTCCTCAGGCCTCTGCTCCATAAATAGCTAGTTACAGTCAGCAAGCCCAGTGCTGGGAGTTCTAAGGTAAACGAAATAGACACGGCTCTTGCTCTCATGAAATTCACTGTTTTGCAAAAAAAAAACCAACCAACCAAAAAAAACCCCAATCAACTGAAGACAGTGAAGGGTGCCAGGGAGTGTGAGGAGCCATGTAGAGTCCCCGCTCTATCATATGAGTCCACATAGTGAGAGAAGATATGTGCAGAGTATCTATCTGACAAAGGACTTGTAGCCGTCACATGTAAAGAGCAGACATGAGCCAATAAGAAAGGGCAGGTTCTTCTTTAGAAACAGGAGCAAGAGTTGGACAGGTCCTTCACTAAAAGGACGTCCAGTGGTCAAGATCCACATGACAAGGTGCCGGACCTCAAGGAAGCACAAAACAGCCGCCCACAGCTCAGAGGAGGGCTTGGAGGAATCCGGATACTTGTGGCCTTTGTGCTCCCTGTTGGACACCAACAGACACAACAGTGCACACACCCCAAAATGTATGAGAATGATCCCGACAACTCAACTCATGACAGGCCACCCCAGAAATGGAAATTATCAACACTGGGGGGTAGGGGGTGTGAGGTTGTGCCTCTGCGTTTCACAGGAAGTTGTATACCAACGTCGGTCTTCAAGGGGCGAGATTTTTGTCTCCTGGGGACACCTGACCACATGTGAACACTTCGGGGGGGGGCACTGATCTTTGGTGGGTAGATAGGGGCCAGAGACCCTGCTCCCCGCCTGCTCCCCGCCTGCAGCACACAAGAGAGCCACAACAGTCTGTGAGGTGGTGTCCACCTCCAGGCACCCTCTATGTTGAGGTGACAATGCGCATGGCCCTCCTGCAGTGGGGGTGACCCAAGCCAGGCTCATAGCTCCTCCCTCTGCAGGAAGTTGAGACCTGGCACACCCCGCCTCAGGTTTGGGAAGTCAGGGGTGCAGGGCTCTGAATGAGGCTATAAAGTGAGAGCTGCACCAAGGGCCTTCGGGACGCTTACACCCATCACGCAAGGTGATGTCTCTTCTGCGCCCATTTCACAGGCGAGGAAACAGAGGCCTTGGGCCTTGCATGCTCAGGGCCGGGGAAGCAAGGGTTCTGTCTCCATTCTGTGGTTAGTGTGCACTGCCTGGGGCAATGGATGCCTTCTCGGGTGCAGAGCTTCGCTCTGCAGCAGGAGTTCACTCCTGCTGAGAGGCGCAGTGTGCACGCCAGCTCCCTATACGATTTGGGTGGGTGCGTGGCACCGGTCTCAGCCACTGTCATCACCAAGAAGGCGCAGCTGAGAGCCGCAGCTTAGGGGAGGAGAGATTCATCTTGGCTCAAATGTAGAGGTCACAAAGGGCTGGGCAAAGTTCTGCCTTGGAGGAGAGTAGTCCACGTCACTGGCTCTGAAGCAGCCAGCCAAAGGGCAGGGTTAACGCATCCAGGCCCTGCTCTGGAGACCCGCCTTCAACCAGGCCTGCCTCCATCCAGACCCCGCCTTCAACCAGGCCCCGCCTCCAGTCAGACTCCGCCTCCAACCAGGCCCCACTTCCAAACAGGCCCCGCCTCCAACCAGACTCCGCCTCCAACCAGGCCCCACTTCCAAACAGGCCCCGCCTCCAACCAGACTCCGCCTCCAACCAGGCCCGAAATCCAATGCCAGCAGTAGCAGCCCCACAATCCAAGGAATGCCTCCCAAAACCCCACCTGTGAGCACCAAAGGTTCTCGGCACAGAAGGTTTTCAGCACATCTAGACATGAAGCTAACAGTCTCACACCCAGGGCAGCTCGGCAGAGGTCCCTGTCTGACTTCCAGACAGGCTGGGGGGTGTGGGAAGAGCTGTCACTTGGGAAAAC